AAAAATATATTTTTTTTATTTTTATCTCGTTATAGACAACTCTGTGCAGTCTATCCTTAAGCATATGTGTGTATGTATTTTTTTATAAGAAATTATGCATACTGACATATAGCGAGCAAGCGAAAATCTATATGCTGTAAATCAACCAGCGTATAAAAAGTTACATGTGTGAATTTTTCTTATATATATTTTAATAAAATTAATTTCGAAGAATACAAACATACAACTAATTACCAAATAAAATTGTATCATTACATTAATATAAAAGTAATTATGGATTATTCTTACAATCGATATTTACTTTACGGAAGCTTAAGGAAGTTAATATCTCATGATTTCGAGGTACGAAATAAATGCTCGAAAAATCACATTTCCACGCAATCAGTTTCGCTTTTCCGGCAATCATGCGTTTCACAAAGGTGCTGTCGGAAAGACGAATATCGATACGCGTCCTTAAAGCGTCTCCTAACGAAAGGGTGTCCATCGTCGAAAGGTTGATCGTTTTTGTCGCAAGGCCGATTCTTCGAGCAAGCATCCACCCGATGTAACGTTTCCCATCCAATAGAGCACGAATGTCACGAAAGCGTCAATAATAAAAACCACCGTTATATAGTCGCGCTGGCTTACGCAAGTCGATGCAGAGAAAATACGAGGCACCCTTGATCTATCGTGCGTGATAAGGCTACAGGGATAATGATGCATTTTTTCCTCATGATTTCCGGACAGCAATGAATATAATATCCCGTTAAAAACTTCGTAAGAAAAATAGCTTTCTTATTAACAAACAAAAAGTAACAATTTTTTTCATATTTTTTTGGTTACCTATTTTGTTAGCTATGTTAAAATATGTCAACAATTTTATATAGATGACTTTTCTAAAAGGGAAAGAATAGAAATATATGGCATTGCTATGTAACTCTGTAATGTCAGTTTTTGGGGCCTGTATTGTAAGACAATTATCTCTCTGTTACGAAAAAGATAATCATTGCAAAATTGCAGTATTATAAAAATTATCTGTTCGAAGATACTTTCTAGTTTATATTTATATTTAAAAAATTTTATTTTTAACTCTCGTTTAAGAAATATTATCCAAAAAACAAAATGACGATATAACATTCCTCTAGAAATATAAAATATAAAAAGAATTAAAATAAGATTAAGCAGAGTCAAAAATTTCTAGTACAAGATAAATAAAGATAAAGATTAGAAAAAAGGCAGAAAACGTGAATATTAGCGCGCATATGTCAGAAAACATCGTTCAGTCTACTCATGATTCTCTTTGTGGATCAAAGCTGCAAATTAGAAATTCAAATAATCGTGACTCCGACTCCCTACCATATCGCTCGATTAATTATTCGCGCCAAAAGCAGCGGAAATTCCGCCGCTCAAATAAGTCTCAAATAAATTTATCCCATATAATAATTTTCAGATGGTAAAAAAAGATTTTGTTCAACGTCATCTTTCTGCTTTTAGATAAAAATGTTCGAGCAATTCGTAATGCATCTTATTCGAATATAAATACGAATTATTAGCCTAACTTATTGTTAGATTGTTTAGAATTATACAATTTATATGTAACATTACATTCTCTCTGTACGCCTTTTTATTAATTGTTCACATAAATCTATGACATGGTTTCTATTTTCTATTAAAACATGTTTCAATTTTTACGTTATAAAATAAATGGTTAACCTGAGACTGCCATTCTAGAATTAACTATAAAACAAAAGAAATTATTATTATATCTAATGTAAACAAAAATAAAAACAAAATTAAATATATCCGTAATAAAAAAAAAAACTAAATTAACGCAATAATAAGTATATAATAATATTATAAATTAATATTATAAAATAAACAGTTATTATTATATTATATTATTATAAAATAAACAGTTCGTTAGTCGCGCAGTTTACAAATTATTATTGTAGTGCATTTTTTATCAACCGTCATTTCTCTATGTTTGATCGCGAGTGCATGAATCCACACACATACACACACATGTCAATTAATTTAATTATACTGATTGCTTTCATTCGCTGCGAGGACAAAGGGCTTTATAAACGAACGAATGAATAAACAATCTTGTACGTCCGCAGGATTATATGTAAATAATTTCGCAGGGTAAAAAACGACCGCACGTGCGGTTTCAACATGCATCACAAAAGAAATGAAAAGAATTCTCTCCCTCAGATCATGCCAGAGAGTACAACTGCACCGTGTCATACTCGGTCGCAGTGTCTTGGAATCGGAAATGACGGGAAATGACAGTCAAGCGCGAGTCGATTCGTGAGGAAATCGAGGAATTCCTATTCCTCCTACTCCGTCACAACGATTGGTTCCTGTAGCTCGCTATTTGCTTCCCTCTCCTTTCTAGGATACGAGTTTTATTCATTGCGCAGAGCGCGTACGCCATATTGCGGAGACCGCGGCCTCCGTTAGGTCAAGAGGTTACTGGAGCAAGGTCGTAGTCTGAGCTGATTCGCACGAGCAAACGATTCTTGTCCGAGAGGAAAGAACAAGGACGCAGAGGGAGAGGAGGTAGAGAAAGAGAGATATAGAAAGAGACAGAGGGGTAGGGGAGTTGGGGAGGAAGGAAGAGATGGATAAAAAACAGAGAAAGATGCAGGTGAGAAGAGCAGAAGGACAAAAGAAATAGAGGGAGGATTTACTCTTTTACCCTGACACCTTTTTACCTTTTTACCACGCCTCGGCTCGGCTCGGCTCGGCGATGCCAAAGATAGATTTATCTCGCCGCATCGTGCCCGCAGAAAATGGCTATAAATTGAACGAAGAGGGAAGGAAGCGAGGGACGGAAACGAGTACGCCAGCTCCGCAGGAGGAAATTATGCAATTCCGAGTGCTCGCGAGTCGTTCAGCGCGGCGAAGATGAGACGCGACTTTCCTTTGCGATATTCTCTCTCTCTCTCTCTCTCTCTCTCTTAATGCATAGGAATTGAATCTTGATCAAACGAGGCAGCGGTCTAGCCCAGAAGAGCCTGCTGAGAGCGATATATCATTACTATGTTACATTCATTGAAAAAGTTACATTTTCATCGTGAAATCATCAAATAGTATATCATGAAAAAATGATATAAAACGAACGGATTTTTCAAATAAAATCTATAATTCAGAAAAAAATTATTAAAAAGAAATTTTATCAAAACAAAAATTAAAATAAACTTTAAATCTTAAATTTCTTTTATTTTTCCATGATAAGGTAATGCGAATTATTCAGTCTTAAGAGAGAAAAAATTAAATAATTTTTTAAAAAATTGTTATAAGATGTTTTAAAAACGGAAGTAAAGATAAAAACATGTTCTGTATGGATTACTTTATTAGGACTACTTGTTTAATTTTTGTACCTATCTAAACTAATGTTTATTATCGGTAAACGTTTTTCATTTTAAAAGAGCATACATTCCTTGCATATTATGTTATTGTTGGAAAAATAAAAGTTGTATTAAATATTGTTGTAAAAATATTGTTGTAAAATTTTTACATTTTTCAAAGTTTACACTTTAATTTTTTCTTTAATAAAGTTTCGTTATAATAATTCGTTTCTGAAATAAGCAGAAAAGGCCGTTTTTTAATTTTCAAAACAATGTGTAACTTTATAAAAAAAAAATAATAGAAAAATATTTAAAATATGGATTTGCTAGGAAATAAATGAGCTTAAAAACTTATAATTTGTTTGAATCGGGCAACTGATTTTCCTGAATATAATAATAGTTTGAAAAATTTTTTTTCATTTTTCAAAGTCTATATCTTTAAACGACGTCCGTCAATTTGTAAAATATTTCTTGTAACTCAATTCTTATTTTTTTGGTTGTCAAGAGATATTCAAATTTTAATTTGAGGTATTATTCATCTCAATACTATGATTCTTTGAGTTATCACTATTCAGAAAATTATATAAAAAATTGTGTTAAAATTTGGTGGCCTATTTTTTGGGGATACTTATGGTATTAACACTATTAACATAATTATTTGGTTGATGTGTCATTGTTATTCAATTGTTTGACTACCTGTGAATATTACATTATGCTTTCGACGGAATTTCTTTCACGATGGTTAACCGCAATGCATTTACGTGCATGTGAAACGACGATAGCGACCACATTTGCGTTGTACTCGGATTAGAATACTGTGTTAGATATTGTTCGCATCGTTGCACTGTGCTCAAATGATTCAATCGAGTAATCAAAACAATACTTCGTTAATCGTACGAACAGAATTGTTACGCGTAATTATTTTGGACGGTCATGTTCTCATTCTACGAATCATGCATACTTGCAAATTTATGCGTTAAATTTAGTTTTGCAAGAAACTAAATTTAGTTTAAAAAAGTAGAGCCAATAATTTTACAGAAAAAGAAATATCTAATAATTAGTAAAGATCAATCTTATAAAAATTATCTTATAAAAGAAAACAAAAAAAAAAAGAAAGAGCATATGTCGATATACTCGCATTCAGTCGCTAATTCGCTATCTTTATACATATGTCATTTAATTTGTAAATAAAGGATTTTAATTCGCCTAACTCAATTATATTGTATCATGAATCATCATCTCACCTTTTGCTGTTGCAATAAAATAAATGAAATAAAATGTAATAAAATTAATGTCCTTTCCATCTCGCGTCATTCGAAAGCACTGCTTTCTTACGGATATGTAGCGTGAAAGCGATTGAATTTCAAAAGAAGCTGATATGTATAATTTTCCGGACCAACGATCTCGTTACAAACTGGTAACTGCATTGGTCCCGTGTAGGAATGCGTTGGCAGATTGACAACGCAACGACGCGACGTGTCGCATGATTATTGCTTTTAGACATGTACGAATTGTTATCATCAATTGTTAAATCCATGCTCGATCACAAAAAATCGCAAAAAACGCAAGATGGAAATAGCTACTCGATCAAATTGATGGCACAAATTTTTGATCTTACTCGTCTATATGTATGTACATACACTTTAACGGAATCATATTTAAAGCTCTTTTAAAAAAATTACGAACAAAAAGATGAAATAAAAAGAAAAAAAATTTTCGTATCTTTATTCTTGTCTCCAAATATTATAGTAATTATATAAAAAAATAATAAAACAACAACAAAATACTATATAGATATACATTAGAATTTTCTATGGTGTTAATTTACGTAGAAAAAACAATTAACAAAGTAACAAAGAATTGCAACATTTTGATATTGATCATTTTGACATATGTCAAAGAGATATGTTATATGATAAATTATAAAAGATAACAGTTCTATGTACATATGTCGCTGTACGTTGCATATTTTCTGCAATCGAATAACCATGCGAGAGAAACGGCCACATAAAGACATGAAAGCAGCTCTTTTGCAATGGAAATTTTCGATGACGATACGAACGCTGTTGCCTCGGAAATGTTTCAAACGTTTCTGAAAAGAACGTTCGAGAAGAAGAACCTTTCTTTTCTGTGCCTTCGACCTATCTGTACTACATGTACGTATTTATATCATGTAAAGGAAAGCGAGTAACAGTCTTTTCTCACCATTCTAAACGAGCGCATATCTTTCTCTTTTTTCGAAAAATATTTCAGATTCAAGAGTGAAACGCGTCCGAATATGATGATCACTTACCTCTATTTGAGAGTTTTTTGGTGTTTATAATTTTTGCAGCAAACTCGTGACCGGTGCTTTTTTGCACACATCGTCGAACCACGGAGAAGGCACCTCTGAAATCATAAGAATATATATAAATATGTTATTCGGAAAATAATAATATTGTATAAATAAATCTGTCTAACGACGTACATAGTGTAGACATATTAAAGCGTAATGTTATAAATAACAAACGAGTTACGAATCCTCGCTAATTTATTGCATGTATCGAAACTGCTATGAGCCTCACAATATACGAAGATGTAGAATATCTGAAATCTGAATGCTTAGGAGCTTAAGATTAGGAGGACAATTATAAGTTGTATTATCAGAATGGTTAATACAACTGCAAAATATATATCTAAGCTATACATATATCTACTTTGATAAAATGCACTTTGATAATTACTGAGAGATAATATTAATTGAAATTCCTTGAAAATGCTTTGAACTTAACTCTTTTTACAGTAAAACTGATTTGAAATTAATAATGCTAATATGCAAATTTAATACGTTAAGCAACAACCCGTATTTATAATTGGTTGAATTGATTAATTATTACCCGCTATTATTCGATAGTAATTATATATCCGTAAGACAAATATTTAATAATATTCAGTAGCATTATTGCGCGAAATATTTTAAAATGTATGAAAGCACTGAGTTACTGATTTAAAACTAAAAATTCTTATCATGAAAAATTAGATTACGCTTGTATTAATCATTACTCCACATCGAAATCACATACCTAACGCGTGAAAGTATCGCAAAATCTATTTTTAATCACGCATTATATCATGGCCATTATATCAAACATTTGTTTAAATGTCTTTTGCCGCAGCTTCCATTAGATATAAAAATATTTATACATTTAATTTTATATTCGATACTTTTCTTACAAATATAATAAAAATTACATTTTTATATTGAAAAGCAGAAGATGAATGTGTAACAAATTTTTCGAAAGGATAAAACACTGAGATTCTTCAAACGCGCGTATTACTGGATTTGATCCTTTAATTTTCAAATAATTACACAGCTCAGTCAAATCGATTCTATAATTCGCTTTACACTTCGCATTACTAAAAATAAAACAATCACAGCCGGTGACGTCAAAAGTATTCATTAACGCGATTTTCAAAGTACATACAAAGAACCGAGTTGTAATGAAACAATTATAATCGCAATTCAAGACTGTAGGCGAGAGTAAAGTCCATCTTCAGAATCCATAGTCACATATAGAGACGTGGCATCTCTATAGCTCTCTATCCAAGAACTAAACCTCGATTACTCCACATACACCCCCGCACTCCGTTTCTTCCTTCTATACATGAAAAACCGCGTGCACGGCGCTGGGGAAACTTTGGTTTACTAAAGTTTCTGTAGCACCGTCGATTAAGGGTGGCAGATTAGCGACTACAAATTGTCCATTGAGCGAACATCCGCAGGCCGAGAGACCTAAATTGTCGTTTCTTCGCAAACGACGGCTACCGTTTATCGATACGAAATTAATGCAAAAATCTATTATTGTCGCGCATGGCCGCCCACGCGTTTTGTTGCCGTGAAAAAGAGATTTCGTTCAAACGAGATGGAAATTGCTTGAAGAGCATTATTCAACTGTCGTTTTAAAGCGAAAGGAGAATTTAGTTTTAAAAAATTAATGGAACATGTATAAAAAAATGTAAATAAAATTTAATTAATTTTTTATTGTTAAATTAAGCAACATTGAAAATATATATCTGCTTCAAAAAAAATCTCGATAACCGAATCTTGTTGATTAAGAAAGTATGTATATTGCAAATGATGAGTTAAAAAGAAATCAAGAGACGAAAACGAGTGAAGACAGAAAAGAAATAATTACAACTCATCGTGACGTCAACAAGCAATTGCCAGTTATTTGTTCTCTTTACAGATAAAGGCGGTAAGAAACTATCAGCGGTACGTCTATAATTGGCTTCACATTGAATCGGTAAGACTGAACCTACGATTGACAATGAACAGCGCGACCGCGATCCGTCGTCGCGAAGAAAAGTGCAGCAGCTGACAATATCAAGAAACTCTGGGTCGTCATAAATAATTAACGGTTACATTATTATTGTCACCTCTTTCTTAAGTACTTGAAATTGAGGTCAAGTGAGCTCCAGTTTTCTATACCCAAATGAATGCGCTGTTATATTAGTTTCAATACGGAAGGAAGTCATAAAAGTCAAGTCGTAAGAGACTGCAAAGAATTTCTCATGCTTCTTATCTAATAAAATTATATAAGTATAAATCATCATTTTCAAGTAATTATGTAAATTAATAACTAAATGTCTTCAATATAATATTAATAGATAAGTAGATAATATAGTTAAAAAATATAATACACATATAGCGCGAGAAAAGCACAAATATTTGTCGCGACCGATGATAATATATCAAATGAACGATTTTCACGTGGATCTCTTTTCGTAGCGAAAGTATTAACCTTGCTGCGGGGTACAGAGACTCTCGAGGCCGATACTGGTCCTGCTGGCGTCGGCGCCGTGTTGCAGGCCAGCGATGCGAGGCGATGCGAGGCGAGGCGAGGCGACGCGACGCTCCGCGTCGCGACGCACGCCGCGACGATCACGCCGCTCGGTCTGCCCGGAGGAAAAAGGGCGAGGTAGGTGCTTGGCTCGTTTCCATGACAACCAATCATTACCGGAGATTGTGCCACCAGCTACTGCGTGCACCAATCCTCGCCACGCTAACTCCCTGCCGCTTTTCCAACCCCTCATCGTAAAATCGGGGGGAGGGGGGGGGGGGAGGATAGCTTTTCCGCTCACGTGCTCTTTACGAGATTATACCGCCGAAGCTACGACGATTATTTAACGTCACGCTCTTGTTCTTGCGCTGCTCATCCCTTTCACCTGTATATGTCGGTCACGATCACAGATTTATACATTTGAATATTACATAAAGCATCGCGGCTTCCATTAGTCGAATATTGCAAGCATCAATAAAATGATGTAATACAAAAACGCTCAACTTTAATAAAAACATAATATTATTTTATAAATATTTTTAATATTAACATATGAATATTTATTTTCTGCTATGAAATAAGTAATTGTAATATTGAGAAAAATCTTCATCATTATGCACGGTAAATTACATACAGGTGATATACAAATGATTTCTAATATATATATATATATAAATATCCTCGTTACTTTAATCAAGAATTCTAACAACACATCGATCGAGAATCGTCGATAAAATTAAAATTAATTTTACATTGGAGAAAATTTCACGAAAGGTCATTATCTGTTGCAGCTTGTTAATATTCAATGCGCCAACCGTATTTTATCGTGCTTGGCTAGTGATCGTCTTGGCGGAGAAGTTCGGGCGTGGTTGTAGTTTACTAAAACGAGCAACTGCGACGTGGTTCTCTCTGGCAGTAATGCGCGACATTAATGGTACATAATTGACAAAAGTTCACGAGGAATGCAATATACAGTGTCGCATTTTGTCGAGAGATGCAAAGCAATGATCGCACACATTCTGTCCCGATCGCACTACGAGGGAAAGTGACAATAAGATAGTAAAATGCCGGATAAAGATATTTCTCGGATGTAAACAGATGCGTAAAGAATATGTAAGCATCGAATGAAATGCGATGTAAAATTGCGTCGAACGATTTCACTCCTGTGCTATGCAACGCGACGCAATTTTCATTTCACATTTAGCTATGAGAGGCTCAGGAAGCGGAAATTAAACTACGAAGAATGGATTCATTATTCTGTAACAGCAGTCAGATCGAAAACCTATTTAACTTCATTCGATTCATATTACACACCATCGATGTAATTTTCCAAAACTGTTTATTCCATTCGCGAAATAATTTAAGATCTTAACAAACTCGAGGAAAGTATATCTTGTAATAATCGTACATACTGTTTTTATGAACAGTAGAGTCTTTATTTAAATATAACTATCACATTAATGCGTAATTCGTGTTGAAAAAATGTTCCGAATGATTCCACAAACGCTATTTCATATAGCAAAATGAATTTATAATAACGCTGTTCTTCGATATACCAAGTGGGCGAATATTATTCTACGCTAAAAATAACGATGAAAGTTCTCTTTCCATCAGCAGCGAGCTGAGATTTAAATTTCTAAAATCGCACGACGAACATGTTACGATGGTCCCTGCATCTTCGTGGATTAACATATAAAGCTTTCTCTACAAAGATAGCGAGGAAGCAAGAGCGAACGTAAGGTAAGAAATAAACTATGCAAGACGAGATACAAGAAAGATATGCATCGTTTTATTGTTAAACCATTAGCCCTTTCTTTATTGAAGAAAAGATTTAAATTTTTCATGAACTTTACTCGTTTAATTTTTACTTTGTTCAAGGAAATGAAAATCTTTGTACAAAAAGAGAAGCAAGAAAATATGAGAATTTGTAAGTCATAAATATTAAAAAATAAAATTAATTTGACGAAAGAAGAAACATTTCGTAATAGAAATAAGCATTAATTGTTTACGATACACATTTTTAGCTAGCCCTCATATTTTCCGATTCAAGATTAAGAGTACATTCTCGCGTTTTGTCACGGATCTTTCTTGTTTGCATGATATTGCGCCGTAAAGAATACTGTAAGATAAACAGGAAAAAAATGTCAATGGAGGAAGGACACGTGAGACTGGAACAGCAAGATAAAAAGGGGAGCCGTGCAAGAGTGGAATGGAAGATGGAGATGTTGCGGAAAAAAAGACCCGTGAGGAAAGTGAGGGATGCAAGAATAATGCAAGGGGACGAAAGACATCGACCTTGAAACGAGTCGGTTCGCTCGCCGATGTGGAACTAGAGCGATCGACGATGAATCTTCAAAGAGAAGCATTTTGTCGCCAACAACGACGACGGCGCGGCAGAGATGCGCTTTAAATACCCGCTCGTTCTTGCCGACACACGGCTCGCTTGCTCGCCACGCAAGCTTGTGGGATCTCTAAGGGTGCTTTTCTTCCTTACTCGACCACCCCATGGTGTCTCATTGTGCTCAATTTATCACCTTTCTCGACGTTGGCCCTTTTTCCGTTGTAAGT